TTCAAATGCACACCGATGATGACAAATTTCCGATATTGGTTCGTCGCGATAGTTATCCTGGCATGGTTAGTTTATTAAACTTTAAATTTTTTTTTTTTTTAAACTTTTATTTTTTTAAATTAATACTTTTTCCTTTTTAATTAATTTATTTTTATTTTTAATTTATTATTTTTTTTGGTCTGATCTTTGATATTTTGATGACAGAAACTTGAACAAAAACGACTAGAGCACGAGCGCCAACGAAACGAACAACGTAAAAGATTTGAAGCACAGATGAAAATTCTTGAGCTTCAACAACTTAAAGAAGAGCAAGATTTGCTCGAAAAACATCATGCGGGAGGTTGCTCATCTGTCCAAAGTGCTAGCGCACCAAATACTCCACCTTCTTTGACATCAAATGACTCTCATTCACGATCCGATACTATGCCTAAAATTCAGTCTTCAATGGATACAAGCATGTCTCATCCTAACCAATTTAATTCAGCCCATTCCGAATCGCCTCATAATATTCAACAGCGATCAAATATATCATCTCGTTCTGTTCCAAATTCGCGTCGTAATTCAAATGAAACCCCAGAAAAACTATCATGGCCTGACATAGGGAAATTAAATATTGATTCAAAAGACGAAAATTCTGAGAACGTTGAGTAAGTCAAAAACAATTAATTAAAAATAATTTCTATTTTCTTAAATCATTAAAAAGATTTTATCTTTTTTATAGAAAAGATTTCATACGAGCATCTATTGGAAAAAGTACTTCGAACTTGCATAAAAATTCGGTTCGATTGTCTGATGCTACATCAGTTAACGCACCAAATAATGATGCATCACTTTTCCCTCAATTTAATGGAAATTTTTTACTCGATGATGATGGTGAAACTTCTGAGACAGGTTTGAATGGTACGACATCTAAATATTAAATGAATAAATAATTGGTTGGCTGGCTGGCTTTTATTCTAACTGGGTTCTATTATTGTTATATTTAGCAAATCCGTCATTAGCGTCATCATCATACGTTCGTAGGTACCTTCAAATGCACACCGATGATGACAAATTTCCGATATTGGTTCGTCGCGATAGTTATCCTGGCATGGTTAGTTTATTA